CAACCACAGGTTTTGCAGTCTTCAAAAGTATAGACGAGTGAGGCAGTCATCACACTGATGAGAGATAAGCCCTTCTTGAGAAGCTAAGGAGTATCAGGACTGGTTAATACTTGGATGGGAGACCACCAGGAAATCCCACAGCTGTAGACTGGATTAAAAAGTCAAAAAAGATTTCAGCAAACCATGTCAAACCATATGTTTATGAAGACTCTCAGTCATCCAGGTGGAATTGTCTGGAGGTTGAGTCATGGCAACTGGACTTCTTTTTGGATAGAGACGTTTCGCTACTTGTCCAAGCAGCTTCTTCAGTCTAAAAAAGTTGGTCAGGGGGACCCCATAAAAGTGGCCACCCTGGAAGACTTTTATGGGGTTCCCCTAACCAACTTTTTTTAGACTGAAGAAGCTGCTTGGACAAGTAGCGAAACGTCTCTAACCAAAAAGAAAAGAAGTCCAGTTGCCATGACTCAACCTCCATGTCGTATTGCTGCCAAGAAAACTACCTGGACGTGTCCAGGGTGGGACCGGGTTAGTTTTTAGTTGGAAAATCACCAGGAAATTACTGAGCTTAAAGTGGACCAGGAAATGTTTTTAAAATTCTGGAAGAAGACCATGGCAACCTACTTCTGCGCTATCGCCAAGATCATTACCTGGGCAATGAGTCCATGTGAACACCAGGAGTAATTGACAGATTTTACTTCAGATCTCCTCCATGCTGGGGAAAGCTACATTAAACTATTGAGCACAATAGGACCCACTGAAAGAGACTAGAATTTCCTTGCTCTTCTCTTTTCTACCCAGCTGGAATCCAAAGCAATGAGCTGGGGCTGCCCCAGAGTTCACAGAAGCTAATCCAAATTTGAATTCTTTCTTTTGAAACCCCTTCAGTCAATCATTAACTGATGCTGGGGGTGGATTTGGAAATCCTCTTTCATACCTACAACAGAACAGGTAGATACTTCCAAAATAAGTAGAACGTTATGCCAGTATCTCTTAGTAAAGAACTGCAGCTGTAGTTAATATTTAAAACTTTTTTCTTTTTTTTCCCATAGTAAATCATATCAAAAACCTGTTTGCTCTAATTAACCTAAGGAAGCAATGTGTTCACAATCTGAGCAAATTGCATTACATTACAGCTATTAATCCTGGAGAAGAAAATCAAATTCCAAAGCATCCCTGAAAAAAATCTATTCATACTATAAACTATGAATTAAACTTTAATTCAAATTATAAAAATATAAATTCAATGTCTTAAAAAAACACACACACAAAAACCCCTAGAAGTGACCTGAGTTCACAACCTTTCCAGATAAAAGTCCATCCCTGGTTATCTACTGCCCTCCCCAAATTTCATTTCCACAAGATAATGCACTGGCATTGCTAAATGATTGAGTATTTTTGCTGACCCACTTAGATCATTCAATATTTGCCCTTGGGTCCCATTCACTGCTCTGAAGGTTCTTGAATGATGGGAAAAAATCAAGGCCAACCAAGATACTTAGAGGTCATCTGAAATGCTACCCACTATCCCTGTTAACATAAGCTCATAGCTTGCTGATACATTTCTAACGATGAGGCTGATGCAAGAGAACTCCCAAATTGCCCATTAAGCCAACCATAATGGTATCCTGAAGTGATCGCTTTGGCATTATTACTAAACCCCCAGAAAGTATTGTAGAGCATTTTGAAGGAATAGGATTCCAGGATGACCACAACAGAATTATAGTCAGGGAATACCTACTACCAGTAAGGTGTTACTTTATTGTTAGGAAGTTTTTGTGAAACATTGAACTGGAAGTAGCCTTCTTGAAACATAAG